AAATCAGGTTTTTTCTTGTTACTGCCCAAAAAAATGCTTCAAAAAATTTTTTTAGGATTATATGTCAGATAGTTCATTCAAATGATACATTGATAAGGCATTAATTCATTATATTTAGGCAAAATACAATTTTTGCACACGTTTAAATCAAAACCTTATTTCTGCCTGTTTCTCCACATTCCACTTTTGGACTTACTCCTCGTTTCGATGTGATGGGTCACATGTTATATTTATACCTACAGCTGTCTCTGAATTTCACCGGAGAACCTCAAACAGGAACGCACCTCGTCCGATGGCCTGCGACGCAAACAGTTGGGGYCGTAGTTGTTTAGTCGAAGGACCTGAATCGCTCTCTTGATGCTGAGGTGATGAAGGACACTTCCTACTTTCAGAGACAGCAGGTCATCCTGGAGGACGAAGCACACAAAGAACACATTTAACAGAAAGCTAGCTGGTAATAAAAGTAGACATCAGACTCAACACAAGTGAGAAAAASCTGAAAGAAACACTCACCACGGTCATGTAGTGCAGCATGCGACCGTCCACTCTGCCCTCATCAAACTGGGTTTTATACTGAGGCAGGCCGATATCATCCAACCACCCTGATAAAAAGATAATCAATATGACAAACAAATTCAAGATAAAATGATAACCTGACTTGATGCAGTTCCTTACTTGTCACCCAGTTGTAGTCCAACTTCCCCTTGTTGTCGTCCTCCTCCGAGCCGAGGGCCTGCAGAGCCAGCTGCAGCTTCTTCCTGTGCAGCGGGTGTTTGATACCCAGCTCCTGAACATCCACACACACGACAAACACAAGAAACTTTMCTCTGCTAACCTGCTGAATAAATGAGAAAAGCTTCTCTGCTGGCTCTCACCTTCTCGAGGTCTTGCTGCGACGCCTGCAGCAGAGTCTGTCCGGATGAGATCCACACTCGGGCCAGGTTCGCGTAAAGACCCAGACCCTGCTCCTGCAGCCAGCCACAAACCTGATCCTTGGACCATCGTGCGAAGGGAGCGTCCACCTCACTGAGGAAAATAAAACCAGAAAGATCGTATTCACTGCCTTTGTTCGTGTCAAACCCTTTTCATTACCTCTGAAAGTCACAGCAGAGAATGAAAACAAGGAAATCACTTTCATTATTCCTGCTGAACGCAGACTCACTTGTTGACTCGCTGAAGGTCACGAGACCAACCCAGTCTGGGTCCTGCTGTGGCTCGAACTCCGCCTCGTTTAAACTCTCCYTCTGGTAAGTTATCGTCCAGATTGAAGGTGGTAGACTGACTTCTTCTCAGCCTTAAAACAAACATTTCAGATCATACATCAGTCTATCCTGACAGTAAGATTGTTCCTTCAGATCGTTGGTTAAAATATCCTTTTACTCACTTCCCAAATAGTTTTTTTATTCCTTTGGATTTCTTCCTGTTTTCTGCGGTGGTGGGAAGTGTGTTTGTGCTGTCACTGTTGGACGACCTCTGGGGCAGCCCAGCCAGGTCCAGATGATCGGTGCCCTGCCGCTCCGTTTCAGCTGCACAAACAAACGCCCACACAGCAACTTGGTGAGCGTCGGTGTGAAAGACCAGCATTGATCGGTGGAAACGCAGCTGTGGAACAGAGGCAGAGCAGCGCTCCGGGAAAACACTGCACAGGACGGAAAACAACTCCAGACTGAGGGGGGGGGTCACTGCAGCGGGCAGCTGTTACAGCAAAAAAAAGCTCTCTAATGTTCATGCATCAGACATGCTGAGATACGACTGATATTAGAAAAAAAATGTGCTTGTTTCATTAGTTTTACAGCACCAACTCTGACAAAACTGGGACATTGTGTRAAAGGTAAATAAAATTGCTCAACTCCTTTTATTTACAATGGAACAGTAAACAAACAAAAAACAAACTAAGAAATTGTATCATTTCTTTTGTAAAAACAAGCTTTTTTTATTTAAATGGTAGAAACACAACTTTAAAAAGTTAAGAGATGCTTTAAAGCTGCAAACACGTCACAACAAATAGAATTTTAACAAAATATGGGTTTATAAGATAGATATATTTTTATAATTTATGTCCCAACTTTGTCAAAATCAGGGATCTATTTTATATTTTTAGTGGAAGATCTTTAAGATCCAAATAAAAGCCTTTCCTCAGCAGTCTGGATCTTCAGAAAGATTTGTGTTTGTCAAACAAGTGCAATCTAAAACATGCAAAGGCACAAACGTATCAACACACACAACTGTGCGTTGAACAGACAAGAATAGTGATAAGTCGTGGACGTTAAAGCACTCAGATAATAAAACACTATCAACTAAAAGAAAACAAGACAACTTAAAGAACAAGAAAGCAAAGAAAAGCAAAAAAAAAGTGCTCAAAGTTGGAGGACATCAGCAGTTGTCTTTGCTTTTGTCGGGGAGCTACAACATCCCTACTGTCTTTACTGTACCTAGCATAGGTGCACTCGCACTCCTGCTGCGGTCTTCATGTGTTTACAAAAAGCCACACAACACACCACAGGGTCCGACAAAAAGAACAAAAAGGACAGAAATTATCAACGACATCATAACAGAGCTGAGAGGGAGAGGGGATGGAGACGTTCACAAATGTAAAAAAAWAAAAAATTAAAAGGACAGAGACAGGACAAAGGTCATACAGGGTCATGAAAACAGACTTCCATAATTAAACAGCGACCACAGTTTATGTGGGCTGCAAATTATAATGTTGGTCCATAAAGTAAACTCCATGGGTGTGGCTTTTAGACGAGGATAAACTAGTGGAAGAAAAGCGTCTCTTTCTGTAGTGAGGATCTCACCGGTTTACCTTGAGAAGAACGTAACACGACGTGTTGAGCTCGTACCTAAAGGGCTGCCGCTGGTCTTCTTGCCTCCGCGGATCTTAAAGAAGCCCTTTCCAAAAGACGAGCGAGCCTTTCTCGAGCCAAAGCCGTCGTCATCTGTGGAGGCCGGCAAAGTGGCCGAGGGATTTAAAGGTGGCTTCTCAGTCATCTTACTGTTCTCTTCATTTGTACACTAAAATAATAATAACAAAAATAAATAAAACGTGTCGGTCACACAGWATCTATAATTCCCTCCTGATTAACAACGCTCTTCCCTTCCTTACCTTCTCGTTCTTGCTCTCTTCTAAATGRTTTTCAATTTTAGTTGCATCTTGGCTTCTAAAATGACAAACCACACCAGATTTCACTTCATTTAACTCATTATAAAGCATGGACAAAACATCATAATCAGAGCCTCACTGTGAATATTTTAAATGGTGCGATTGTGGCGAGCGCATCTGTTTTTGTAATTACAGTCAAGTCCTGCGTTTGCAACAAGATTCTGCCACAAATGTTCTGATTTCCTGTCACTTGGGGGCACAACACAACGCCTCATACTGATGAAGAAACACTACTGTGTTTGTGGCGACAACAATGGCTKGAGTGTGACAGGATGCTTTGTACAGCAGTGACATGTTGGGGACAAATATGTGGTGCAACGCTGCAGCTGGTGTCATCACCACATCAGTTTCTTTTTTTATTATTAATCTAAACGAGAGTGGGAAAAGTGTTACAGSACATGTAAAATAAAATAAAAAGGAGCTGTAAGGCTAACGATTGAATGATTTGAAGTAAATGTAATGTTTTATATTTTCACCGGTCTTCATCTGTTGGTGCGAGCTCAGAAACTTCCTCTGGATCAGGAGGGCTGGGCGTGGGTGAAGGATCTTCACTCTGTCCGCTGAGACCTTCCATCTAAGCATCAACAAAAACAAACATTTAAAAACACTTTTAAAATGGTAAAATCAAAACGTTTTTATGTGTATGAATGTTTGAATTACCATTTTTTTAATGCAAGTGATGGAAAAGTAAATAAAGGATTAAACTTCTATTGAGCTGGATTTTAAAGATCAATCTTGTTTTATTTAACAAATCTTTTACAAACCTCATCTGACTTCTTTACTCTTAGCTGTTCAAGATCCGTAATGTGCTGTTTCTCAGTTTCCTCAGACCCGAGATATGACAAGACGGCACCGATTCCATCAGTTGGGCTCTCGACGTGCTCATTATCTTTTATTTTCTCTGAGGTGAAGAAGAAAGCAGTGAGGTAAATTACACAGCCTAAGATATAAAGTWAAACTAAGTTTCAGAACAGATTTAAGTATAAATAAATGTATTGTTAATCTGTTCTGTAAAGGTGAAGTCTCACCTTTCTTTCCTTGCACCGACATCACCATATCCTGAACTTTCTTGTACCGCAGAAGCGACTGCTTTAACTCCTCAATCTTACGATCCTGAAAAAGAGAGGGAAAAAAAACATTAAAAAACAGGTCGACTCCACAGGAAGAAACCTGAACAATCACATTTAAAGTGAATTTGACTCGTGTAAAGTACCTTCTCTTCGTTTGCTGCCATCAACGACTCGACTGCCTTTTTCATTCTTTGCACTTCCACATCTAGTGAAGACAGAAAATAATTCTGGATAATGAAGCGTGAAGCTTTATGAGGGATGAACATAAATACAGGAGGATTTCATCAAGAGGTGTTATCKTTGAGTAAGGAAATGTTTTACCTCTTCAAACTGTTAGAACATTTTCACTTTTCAGAACACACACTCCAACACGAGGTTGTGTAATACACCGTGACAATGCTTAACCTTCTGTAAACTTTTCCACTCCAGTATATTAACTATACAAATAAATAAATAACAATAAAATGAACAAAATGACATGGTTCTTGTATCATTTACATAATTTATGGGATTTTAGTTTTGACAGAAGAAAACATGAAATTCACTGAAAAAAAAAAAACACGGCTTCTTTCCTTTTAATGTGTTATAATGAATCAATCAATAAATCAATCAATCCATCAATTATTCTGTGATTGCTTTTTTAAAATCATTTTTAACAAAAAAACGATCTCAGTTGAAACAGATTTTAAATCCGTTGATTTGCATGAATTGAAAACAGGTTTTAAACTAATCGGAGGAAGTTAAAATATTAAAATCACTCATTTCAAACTAAAAAAGGATATCCTGAACTTCAAACGGTGCAGTTTAAAAATGTTTAACAGTTTTTTTAAATGTGGGCATGCGCTCAATGTAAACAAAACCCTTGGTTGAATCGTCATAAGCCAAGTGGAAGCTGGAATCACAAATGACTATTGATAAAGAAATTGCGTGGATTTTGTTCCTTGATTTATCAATATTCTTTGAGGCCTTTCAATAAGCAGCATTAATTATTAGGATAAACTGTAAATGCTGATGATGTAGCGCTGAGGCAACAGAATGTTCAATTAACCCGTTTTCTAATTATTAGATCAAATAAATCCTTTATTCTGTGCCAGTAAGACTGAAGTTTAGTTGTGTTCAATAATTTAAGATAACCGTATCACTGACTCTGCCACACGAGTGTGTCCATAAACATGTTACCAAAGTTTTTACTTAAATCTGACATTTTAAACATGATTAAGCATTAGGGAGTGTATAATGTTCATTATGTAAACAGAGTCCTGCAGGAGTGTGTGCAGAAAGTGAAACAGCTCATATGATAGACAGTAAGTGATGGGAACAAACAACAAGAAACAGAACAGATTAGAAAGTTACAGTTTGTGGTGTCAACAGGGACAGGTTCAGGTTTTTGAGAAGCCACTGAGGTGCACAGGTTATTTTTGTTGGAGAACACGAGTCAGAAGGATGAGTGAGCAGCCTGAATGGTTATAACATCACATCATTCCTCATTCCTGCCGATTACATGGAGCAAACGGTCCATTTTGCTGATTTAAGCTGGATTATAAAAACACAGTGACAGGGGATCTAAAAAAACTTTGTTCCATTCAAAAAAAAAGAAAAGAGTTGAACAGTTTGTTTGGGACTTGGTGCTGTGGTCAGTTATGAGCACTTCACTGAGTAATAATGGACAAGCAGAGTTCGGACGGCTCATGCTCGTTCATGCAAACAGGGGCTTTGGGGGTGAATGCAGTGATGATCAAAAGCAGGAAAAAAAAACCCTTACGTTTTTCTTTCAGCCTCTTTCTTAACGTCTCATCTGGATGAGAAACTACACAGGACAAACATTACGACACAAAAACTTTAACCGTAGAAAATGATCACGTGTTATTAGAGACATTAAACTCTGGGCCTGCTCAGTTTCAGGGCTTGGCTGCTGTTTCCCCACCTCTCTCCAGGGAATCTGCACCGCTCATAGCGATGGATCTGAAGCCCGTCTCATCGTGTGGTCTCCTCGTGTCTCCGTCTTTGCCCTCCAGCTGCCTCCTCAGTAAGACTAGCTCCTCCTGTCCAACAGAGGACGACCGTGAGAGACAGACACCCCTCCCCTCYGCTCCACTCAACAACACAAACAAAAAACAACAGAGGTTCTCGGATGCCGACGTGGCATAAAGAGACACACCTGTGAGGTGGGCGGCGTGCACAAATGTCTCGCGGGGTCAAGGCAAATGCATTACACCAGGGAAATAAGCAAAATAAAACAGTCTGAATGTAAAAATAGAACAAGAAAAAAACCTCAAATGAAAATGTTCCTGTGGTTTGAAAATGTGTTTGCTGAATTTACTGCTTTGTTGRTTTTTCTAAATCACACTTGACTTTTCATATTTTTTTGTAATCAACTGTTGTCTAAATAAAGTGATTTCTCTGTTTGCATAGAAGAGGATGAACTTTTCACTTCAAAAATATAGTTAGAAAAAGGCTAAAAACATGCAGGTTTGTTTGATTGTCATTTTCTGCTGTTTAAATAAATAAAAGAAGCAAAGAGAGAAGTCAAAACCATAATCATACAGCAAGAACAACAATCATCCTGAGAAAAAACAACTTTCAGAGTCTGGTGTTTGTGCTCTTTCCTCCATTTTTAAATAAAAGTTTTTTGTATAAAAACGGGTTAACTGATTTGGAAAGCAAAGACTTCTGTAACAACTCACCTTTGTGGATTTAAGTTTCTTTTCGTACTGTAATTTCTCAGTTTCCAGGTCGGTCAGCCTGAACCGCAGCTCATTAATTTCAAGAATCAGATCCTGCAAAAGCAAAAACAGTGAGAAAACACACACACACACACACAAAAAAAACCGAGACAATTTTCATTTCGCATTCACAAGTAATACAACACCTGTCAATTAAAATCTGTGCCTAAAAATTTCCTGACAGCTCCTATCTCAGAAAGGAGGAAATRGTTTTGATAAAATACGCAAAACTGATAACAGTCGAGACAAACTTTTTAGACTTGAGGGAATTCCTCAGAGACTAAATGCTTCAAAGCAGCAGCAGCAGCAGCAGCTGAGATAAAGAGAGCAAACTGTGATTTAAGGGCTGTGAGGCGGAACATGGACGGCRGCGTTTTTGTTCTGCTGGGGTGGAAGAGCAACAATTAAATCATGACGTGTTTGAAAGCCTTTCAAGCACTCTGGAAGCACATGATCACCATATCTCACATAAATAAGTGCTTAATCTTCATAAAACCTTCAGCCAAAATGCAGCAAAACCAAAAAAGGTTAAAACAGTCAAACAAGATTACACAGCTCTGCTTCGTTCTATAACAACAAGAGTCCCAGGCAGGCCTAAATACATGGCTTCAGCTAATCTTGAGTTGCTATATAAACAAAAAGAGAAAAACACTTAGTCTGACTTTATATAAAAGCTCCTCTTTCACACAAACAACAAAAATAAGCATCTCACATCAGTGTCCCGAAATCTGTCATCGAAGTCCAGCCTCTCCTTCTCCAAAGAGTTGAGTTTTAACTTGAGGTTGGACACTTCCGACATCAGCTCCAGCTTCTGGGTCTCCAGTGCYGCTCTGCACAGAAGCTCCTACAACCAGAGGTAAACAAAAATAAAGATTAACAACACTTCAACAACAGAGTCACTGAATCAAACAGAAAACCTGTTTACAGCTTCGACATACAAGCACTCTGTCACAAATCAAACAAAATATGAAGACCRTCACTTACATTTGTATAGTTTGCTAAAAGTTTTACATGCTGGTGGGATTATTGAATTAATTTTAAAGATTGTCACCTAAATCCCTTTTTTAAAATGAAGTTTTATTGAATGAGTTAAAACTTTTCTGTGTGAAAATATGGGTTTAAAACACCCAGAGGAAGCTAAATTATCATTATTTTCAGCGTAAACATTAATGATTGATGAATTATTTTGAGTATATAGACAGAACAAAGGAGTTTCTCAAAGATAAATACAAAATGCCAAAACTACAAAACATWCATTTCAATATCATTTAGTTTGAAATAAAAACAAAGCACACACCTGTTGCAACATCTCCTCAGTTGAGTTGAGTTTCTCTCGGTGCTCGTCTAAACACAAATCTAAATCACGGATCTTCTCTCCTTGAGCCTCCACCTGGTCGGTCAGCACACTCACCTGCCCAARATCAAGGTGACATGGTGAGTTTAGATCAAATGTAAAGTAACCATATTGGGCAGAGAGAAAAAAAAACACTTTATACTGCTGCAGTGCAAAAAAAATTTAAAGTTAAAAAATTAAAATCAGTGCAGCATTTCATCTGTTTATTTTTGGAGGGGAGGAGTTTTAAAGAGCTGTATAATTGGTTCTGTGGTTGAAAAAAGGAGATTACCGGTAGTGACTTTTTTTAGCCACTGATTGAACTTAAACAGAAATTAATTTATCGCCACTATTACTGCAGGCAAATTCAGTCATGTTGTAAAACATATTTGGGTCATTATGACAAGTTATTTACTGCTGGAYGGGTACCTGAAGAACTAGAGACTCTTTATCACTCTCAAGTCTTGACAGTCTTTCCTGATAGTGGTCACCTCCACTTAGAGGGATGTGTCCATTGGACTGCAGGGGGAAAAAAAATCAAGATTAGACACAAAAAAATGAAATGCCTTTTTTTTATTATAAAGTTTATTCATTTAAAACAAAACAACATAAATTCAATATTCAATAAAAATACAAATCATAAACCAAATGAAAGGCAGCAGAAGAAAAAAATCTTAAGATTTCTGCCCCTTTTTCTCAAATAAATAAATTCAATCAAAAACAATCTTCAATTTACAAAAACGTACAAATGAATAAAAGAAAAACAATAAAGGTTTAATTCCTTCTTGAGCAATAATTCGTACATTATACCCATACATATTTCTCCAACAAATTAACCTTTATCATTCTCTTAAATATACACACTGATCTGGCATTTTTAATGTCATCTTCCAGATTATTCCATAATCTTATACCCTGGACTGAAGTACTCCGTTCCCTCAAACTGGTTCTAATTTTAGGTCTCACAAACATTTCTATGCCCTTCAGAYTGTAACAACTCTCTCTTTTAACAAAATGTAATTGGATGTTTGAAGGAAATACGTTGTAACAGACATTTTGAGTTGCAGTGTTGTTCTTTAATTAGGCTACATTCACACTTCAGGTGATCAATTCCAATTATTTACTCAGATTGTTTTTGAAACATGATGTTGAATGATCTCAGATGATTTTTCAATACAAGTCTGACTCACTACACTGCCCTGCTCTGCACAAACAAACCCATACATGGCAAACGAATAGTAAGCTCCCATTCAGACAGCTGTGCAGAGAGTGAGGTAAACTCTGGATGGCCTGCAGCCCATCACGCTCCCAAACACCGCTCTGATTCCCAAGAAGTCAGCATGTTTCTTACGGCGCTCTGGCTCTGACACAGACATCAGCGGATCATCTTTCATTCCCAGGGAACTCAGCAGAGCAGGACAGTCGAGTTTTCCCTCAACAAACAAATCAGCTGAACACAATGGCACACAGGATTTGTTTGTTGAAGCGGCGGTGCATTTTGAAGGTTTTGAAGCAGCAAAAAGAATGATGWTAGAATCAACTCATGCACACTGAAAATTCTATTCTGCCACGAGGGTTAAGAGCCACGWCTTTGTGATCTTTGTTAACGAAAACCCTGCAACCGATCCTGAATTCTAACGCAGCACGACTGCATCTTACCAGGTTCCCATGGAGCCACTCAACCAGACTGTCAGCTGTCGAGCTGGGGATCTGGCAACGTAAACCTTCCCTTTCCTCTGTGTCCATCATTTCCAGGACGCCCCTCAGGTCTTCCACAAGGTGAAGCGCCCGCAGGTTACCCATGAAAGGAGACGTGGGCGACTGGCAGTCAAACAAACCATTGGAGTAATCCAACGCCTTTGAGCCTGAAGAGACACAGAGTGACTGAAAGTGTTCAACCTAAGCATACAAAGTCCAGTCAAACATGATCAAATAAAACCTTAATTAAGAAGAAATAATCTATTAAACTTGTACAATAAAAGCTAAGCTGGCCTGCTCAAAGAGAATTAAAAGCCAGTGAATAAAAAAAGTGTTTTTAAGGGTAAAGAAACTGGTTTGTGGATCTCAGAGTTCTGGTTGGGGTGTAAATGTGCCGAATTGGCGCCAAACCAGAAAATGTTTAAAAACCAGAAGTAAGGTTTTAAACTTAAGCCTGAGTTTAGGTCAGGGACTTGGCTATACTTTGTTGCTTGACACACTCAGGAATTCATTTTTAGTGGTTTTTATTACTTCAAATGAAGACACAGTAAATGCTGATGTTTACCTGCTATAATGCCATCCATCTGCTCCAAGGCAGCAGCCAACATGTCGCTGGCATCAGACATCATCTTGTCAACTTAGAAACCTTTAACAGAACATAAAGCATTGAAAGTCACAAACTGCTCTAAATAAAAAGGTAAACTAATCTCTAATCTGTAAAAACATCTGTACCGCTTTGGGATTTTAGTGTTAAAACAACACATTTGTGTAAATGTGTGTGCTTGTGACGAGAGTATCTACTGATTTAGCGAAGCAGTAACCTTGGAGCTGTGCGTAGCTTTAACAAAAAATGTCTCCAACCCTGGAATTAGACTGTTTTATAACCCCTCGGATCTAAGAAAAGARGCCTGGTTGGTAAAACATCAGGTCTGCGAAACAAGATTGACATTAAAATCCATCACATCAACAAATACAAGATAATTTCACTAAAGTTTGATTAAATGATACACAGTGACAGAAAAGCTCAAATAAAAGCCTAATGTCTTGAGTTGATGCAGGAAAAACTGTCATGTGAAGATATATTTTAGTGTTTCAGTTTGTGACATCGGCTTAGAGAACATGATAACGGCACGGTTTTCTGTAAATAGTTACATTTTTCTTTACACCCGTGCACACAACGTACATAAACCTCTACTTTTTATTTGGCTGCCTTAAATCTTGGGAGTGCCCGACCATTTTCCAAACTTTATGGAAACCACCCACAGACCCAGCATGGTTGTTTCAGCATTTCTGTGGTAGTGCTTTCCATTATGTGTAAAATAAGCGCACAGTGAAACGCAAGCTTCGTCACAACAAGCAGCAGGGAGAAAGGAGATGAGAGGAACCAGCATGTCACGGTAACTGCTGAGTGGTTTCCAACAGTAAAACTCTTAATGGAGGCAAAACTGCTTCTGCCAGGCTGCCTACAGGAGCAGCTTGTTCCATGTACGAAGGCAGGATTTAAAAAAATGGATCATTAAAACACAAAGCTGTGCTAGYTCTTTGGAAATTATGTTTGAGATGTTTGAAAAGGATAGACTCAGATTACATGAACAAATCAGGAGGGATGTTGGAAAATTATACTGTGAATTTTCTGATCATTTATTTGTCATTTTTATATAAACAGTGGCATTTTGTTTTGCTAAGGTCTTTAAATGTCACATTTTGGTTGAAAATCTGACAAATGATTGATAAGTTATTAAACTTAGCTTTCCTTTTGTTTTTAACKGTGTTGTCAAGTGATAAAATCCCATTCAAGATGGCCGCCACTTGACCTTAGGAAGGTTCCAACTTGGTCAGTTTTACAGATACAGTACATATTTTGGTGTGGTGGTAGCTGGGAGTCATTTACAACACATAAACCAAGAGATAACATACGAGATATCTCCATAATGTTTGGCCAGAATGACTGTAAATCCATCATTTCTCAAAGGTTTTAGAGCATTTCCAGATAAAGAACTGGGTTTATTGAACAATCACAGAAGCTAGGGTTAAGAAATTATTTTCTACTAATTATATTACAAAATAAGAGAAGATGTTCACTTATTTGTAAACCTAAATAATTCACAAATGTTAAATTATGTCAAGTAAGAAATACAATATGAATTACTATCATTTGAACACAGTCCCTGATATCATGAAGCCTGCAGCAGAACAAAAGCAGAGTGTGTTTAAGGAATGAAGGCCTGTAGGGCATCTTGAAACTGAGTCGTTTTTTTCTCTTGCTGTGGAAGAGCAAATATGAGAGTAGTTAACACTTGGCTTTCAGCAAACATACTTCAAACGCAGCAGGTCCAGGTCCAGACATGCAGCTTTAAAACCTGCTGCCCATGTGTCAGTCAGTCAGCACGTGTGGAAGTACCTGAATGAGCGTTTTCAAGGCTTTCATTCTCAAAGAGGGACCTGACATCCAACTCAAAGAATATCTAATTACAGAGAGGTGCCCTCCACGGCTCATATGGTGYGTTAGTCACATGTAAACACAGGAAGGCCGTCTCACACAAGGTGACTTTGTCTGTGTTGTCTTTCCAGAGCATGGCCCATAATGGTGCATTCAGACCAGGAAAGTCCTTTGGTCCACTTGTTTGGTCCGGACCAAAAGTGGACTTTATTTTTTTCATTTGGTGTGGTTTGCATTCACAWTGTGCTTTTTTGCAAATGAACTATAAGTTGTAAACAAAGCCATGAGACTGACGATCATTGCACCCATTGGACAAAAAAGGACGGGGGCGGGACTGAGCGCACAGACCCAGAAAACAAAAAAGTCCTGCATGCTGCGGTTCTGATGTGCACATTTATGCTGATAGTACAACCGCAATAGCATTTAAAATGTCAAAAGCAGCTAATTTAATGGTAGTTCTGTATATTCTAATTTTGGAGCGACGTCACGTAAATGTGTCCCGCGACCCAAAGGAGACGAGATGCTCTGCGTGTTCTGACCCACAACATGTCGGCAGCAGAGCTGCTAACAGGAGATGACGAAACAGGTATGATTTCAGTTTATTTATTAGCTCAGCAATGGTGGCCTGTGAAGTCCAAAAAGGCGCATGTTTAATGCAGTTGGTTCGGTTAGAGTCCGGTCTGTATTCACACCAGAAGSAAACTGAAGCGAACCGCACCAGAGTTCGTTTGGAAGCGGACCGAGACCTGCTTTTAGAGGTGGTCTCGGTCCGGTTCTTTGATCCGCACCAGAGTTCGCATGAGTGTATTCACACCTGCACAAAAGGTCCGGACCAACGCTGGAAACGAACTCTGGTTCGTTTAAAGCRGAGCAAATTGTCAGTATTCAGACCTGACAATTTGGTCCGCTTTAAACGAACCAGAGCTCGTTTAAAGCAAATTGTCAGGTCTGAATCCAACCTAAGTCTGAAACTACTGATTACTTTCTTGATTGAGTAATGAACTGTTTGGTACGTGTTAGAGAATAATTGAAAAAGTGAACCTTATCATTCCTAGGAATTCCTGGAGGCACAAACATTTATTGTTCTCACTGACCAAGTAATGACTCTGAGAGAAATATCGAAACTAATCGGTTTTAGTTAAAGGAACTCAAGACGGAACAGATTTTTACCAACCATTTCTTGTTATAATTTGTTTAGTCTTTGCAGGTTTGTTATCAATGTGGACATCTTCAAAACAAAGTCTGTCTGCTGTTCCACGAGTCTAACTTACACTAAGTGTAAGACACAAAGAGAGTGACTTTTTGTTATTATATTGGGGTGTTTTGTCTAAGAGGACTGAAACCCTACAGTAAGAGGATGTTTACAACATCCCTGCCTGCTCTCAAACCAAAATATGMGACCCGTGCTGACAAAATAAGTCTGAATGAGCACAGGCTGCAGTGAAAAAAAAAAAGTGAAAATACACATTTTTTTGTTTAAGTTTTGTGTGAAGCTGGACAATAAGAACAACACATGTTCAAAAAGCACTCTGACCTTTAAAAAACTGGTTAACAGATGATCACAGGCACCGGTCAGACTGCAGTCGCTTTGAAAAGCATCAGATGTGCACCTGATTTAGTAACACAAATTTTAAAAAACCTGTGTCGGATTTAGAAAAAATATCAGATTTGTGTCATTCTTGCCTGCAGTGTGACTGTCCATAGCTTAAGATAATCTTCAATTCAATTTAAAAAAATTATTCATTTCATTAAAAAACAAAATAACTACTATATACAACAGAAAACAAAAACAAAAAAACAACTGGTGTTGATTCATGAAACATTTGGCCAACAGATCAAAAACATTATCTTCCACCTACAGCGGCGGACACTAACAAAAAAAAAAATTGATACAAGAGTGAAACAGGAGCCCCACAACACTGGTCCCTTTAGGCTGAGAATCCCATTAGAGATTGTCATCACTAGACAATCTACTGAGAGCATAAGAATTCAAGCAATTCCTTGTAAAATCTACTGTGCACACACGAGCAACAAAACAAACAAACAAAAAAACCAAGATAAAGCCCTGGGGTCTCATGTCTCAAAAGAAACAAAAAGGAGGCGTTCTGAGCCACAGTGTAGCTGACTTTACCAGCCTCTCTCTGAGACTGAGTTCTGGTGAAAAGACACAGAAGGAAGAATTTACAAAGCAAGCATAAATCATTCAGTTTTATTTCTATTTTTACTCTGGTAACGTAATGATTTCCAAGAACACGTCAAGAGTAGATGTTTCCACATAATGACACTTTCTACGTTTTGACTCATGCAGGCCATTGGCTCAGTTTCACCTCWGCAGCGAGAAAAACTAAACTCGGACTTAAATACATCATCGTGTTTCACCTCAAACAGGAAACAGACACAAACTATTTGATATACAATTCTTAAAAGGCTTTTAACCAGTTCATTCCTGGGCTGTCTCTTATGATTTCTTCTGTGTAAACAGGGTTTAGGTTTTCAGACGCCTGCAGGGCGCTGCTCCAGAATAACCAGAAGCTATTTTCAAACTCCGAGGCAACCTCAAATAACAAGGCCTGTGGTAAAACAAGAATAAAAACGTAAAAGTCAGGAATCCTTTATATTAAAAAGGCTGTGCAATGTGGGCATCCAAAATGGAAATGAAGCGGTTGAAATAATTGAGTTTAGGGTAATAAAATCTTTCCTGCGTGAATGCACAAGTTCAGAGAAGAGTTCAATTTATGTTGGACAGCTACACGCATTCTTTTCATCTGACGCACAACCTGTTTCTTGATTCGATTAAAACAAAAAAAGGACCCATCTTTGAGGTTATTGCAGGAACAGTGAAATTTAACACTGARCTGTGCACATGTGGCATAAACTTGCAGTTGTTTTGCTCAATCTGGGGTTTGTTTTGGAACATTTTGAGCATTCCTCCTCCGTGAATTCCTAACGTTTCACAGCATTAAGGGCCGGAGGAAACGACAATGAGAACCCTGGGAGATTTCCCACAATGTGACTGACACAAAGGATAAATTCTGTAGCAAAGTCATCACATCGAGACGGAGCATGTGGTGTTTGGTTCACAGTAGGGCTGCCACAATTAATCGACGACTAATCGATTATTAAAAATAATCTATGA